GGGAAAAAAAAAAAAAAAAAAAAAAACACCTTAAAATAGTATTTAAAATTTGTTTAAATATTTAATTATTATTTTAAAATTTGCTACAGGACCCGCATGCTTACCAGAGAGTGGCAGAGATAGAGACAGAGTGAGAAAGCAAGCCAGGTCGGAACTCAAACTGTAGTCAGCCAGTGCCTCAAACGCCATGGAACCTGCTGGTCCCCACCCCAAAGTAATTATTAATAGTAACACTAGTTAAACAATCCAAGTTTTAAGACTTTGTGAAAAGAATGATCTCTTCACTTGCACAGTTTATTTAGGGTTAACTACTAATTTCTAAAATGTTATTTGGGTTTAGCATTTCATGGTAAATAAAGTGAGCAGATGGAAAGTTCCTGGACAAGTAACTTGCTTTCAAGCTATTTTTCCCTTAAAAAATAGAGGTAAAATTTTTTTCACTGAAGAGTCCCACATAGAAACAATTAATTCAAGCATCAGTTTCTAGACAAAGTCTCATTGTTTCCGTAAACTGCTGACACTTCATTCTCAGGTCTTGGAGGCTGCTGGTTGTAAAACTCTACAGCAAGTGGGCGATGGAGACATCTACAGGCTGATGTGAAAACTACAGGTAGCTGCGATCCCTCCCCAAGCATCACGTTTCTACTGAGCATGCAACAACCTGCAGCACTGGCACCACCCAGGACCTTGTTAGAAATGCATAATCTCAGATCCCACATCTCCTAAGTCAAAATCTACATTCAAAAAGGGCCCTTCTCAGGGGGCAGCGAGTGGCATAGTGATTAAGGCTCTGGACTCCCATGTGGTCAAACACATTTTGAGTCCTGGGTCCGGTGACTTGAAACTCATGCAGAGCACACGTGCGTGCAGAGAAGAGAATGGAGAAGGGATTGCAGCATGGCCATCCCCCCGGGGGTGGGAGGTGATTTCTTGCTTTCTGTCTCTGTCTCTCTGGCGGCTGCATGTGCCCTATAAGCAAAAATCTCAACAACAACAACAAAGATCGTTCTAGGGACCAGCAGATGGCATGGTGGTTTAAGGAGCTAGATTCCCATATGGCTGACTGTGAAATTCAAGTTCCAGATCCAGTGACTTGAAAATGACACTGTGCACATAAGCATGCGCACCGAAAATCCCAAGGGGAGAATGGGGGAGAAGGGACTGGCATGGCCATCCCCCCGCGGGGTGATTCTTACCTTCTCTCTGTCTCTCTGCAGTGAATGCATGTGCACTATGGCAAAAACCTGAAAAAGAATCCTGAGAGAGAATGAGCACACCACACCTTTATTGAGGTCGTCCGAAGGGGACCTAGCTTTACGAAAAGACTTCAGAATACTGCTGAAGGCAGTCAGGGAGAACCATCTAATCTGGGTACAAATTATGTCTTTACCTCTAAAAATAATAAACCTGGCATGAATAAAAGTACCAAAACCCCTGAAACTAGAAAATGGATGTTTCATAGTTCAGCCACGTACGAGCTGTTCCTTTACCATCTATGCCACGGAGCGCTCAGGGCACCCATCCCAGGGAAATGTCCTCTAAGACGCGACATGCCAAAGCTTTTTAGTTGTTTTTTTGTTTTGTTTTGTTTTGTTTTTAGAGACTTTTGCTAGGGGTGTGCTCTCAACAGAAAGTGAGAAATCACCGCCCAGAGGGGATGGCCATGCTTCAATCCCTTCTCTTCCATTCTCCTCTCGGGATCCTGGGCACGCATGCACATGTACCCAACGTGAGTTCAAGCCGCTGGGTCCGGGACTTGAACTGCAGTGAACTACCTGGGAGTTTAGCGACCATTACTCCATCTGCTGGCCCATGCCAAGGCTTTCTGATGAAGGTCACGAGGAAGCCCTGCAAGGATGTCCCGGTGACCCAGGTGCTGAAGAGCACAGGCCTGGGAAGCGCTGCACTTTCTAAGTGTACATACAGTGTGCATCTCTGGAATTGGGCGGCTATACACAACACCGGGCAAGCCTGGATCGATCCCCCTACCTCAGTGTAGGTTCCCTGCCCCCACGACTCTTCTTGCACCCTCTCTCTATTGTAAGGAACTTACTTCATTCTGAAGGATCAGGTGCTTCACAAGCAGTTCCCTTCTGCCAGGCTCTCTGAGCGATGGGACAGTCACCACCTTCGCAGTGGCATCTACAACTCATAACAATGCCCAGATGTCTACTGAACAAAGACCAAACACCTCACAAGTTATGATTTAATAGTTATTCCCTGGACAAAACTCTGCCCATGAAAACCAGTGGCTGTGACCATCTTGTCTAGCTTACGAATTGGTTTTAGAGGCAAACACACTGGGTAAATGACCCGGTACAGAACCTGCCCTCCTGGCTGCCCGCTCTACTGCAGCCTCTCCGGTATGCCTGACAGGCAGGTGAATCCTGAACCGTAGCCGGGAAAAGGATTTGTACAGTGAGGCAGCGCGGATCACAGCCCAGGCCCCAGCCTCTCCCATGGATTCCAGTCCAAATGACGAAGACTGGCACAAATGCACCGCCAATCAAGGAAAGGTCTTAACTCTGCTCGGCTGTCTGGATGAGTTTATGCTGCTCAATGTCCATTTAAAAAGTTAAAAATCTGGATTTTTTTTTTTTTTTCGGTGACTATGTTTTATTCTGGGTTCAGGTCAGCTTAAAAATCAGAAAATTGATCTATACTGGTGTTGATAGGAAAGGTTTTTACATTTCTGGATTTTTAAAAAGAGGTTTTTGCCTTACGGCGTGTACACTCATTGGACAGACAGAGACATTGAGAAGAAAGTGAGAAATCACCCTCAGGGGGGATGGCCACATGCACCCAGCGAGAGTTTCAAGGCACAGGATGTGAGACTCAAAACATGGTTGGCCATGTGAGAGTTAAGCGACATAACTGCCACACCACCTGCTGGCCCGCAAATATCTGAACGTCCTAAGAATCACCGTGGGGAGCTGGCAGGTGGTGTAAAGTGCTGGACTCCCACGTGGCTGACCCGTTAGAGTTCAGACCTGGTGGCTTGTTTTCTCATTTTCCCTTTCTCTCTCTGATGAGTGCATATGACCTAAAGCAAAATTTAAAGTAATAACAACAAGAGGAGAGGCAAGGGAACAGGCCTCAGAAGACCCCATCGTGGCTACTGAGAACTAGCGATTTTAGAGGAATAGGAGAAATGAAGATTTTCCACTGATAATTCAGCCTCCAGCCAACAACCTCACGTGGTAGGCAGACTTTCAAGCCTCCTGTCTCTATCTCTCTCTTTGTCTCTTTCTACCTCTGCCTCTGTCTCTTTCTTCACTTTTTAAATAATTTTTAACAAATTTTATTAAGCCAAAGCAAAGCTGTTTCTTGGCTTTCAGCCCCTCCCTTCCCTTTATCTTGTTAATAATCCACCCTTTTTCTCCCAACGCAGGAGAGGCTAGGGAGCAGGCCTCAGAAGACCCTGCAGGGCTACCAAGAACTAGTGATTTCAGAGGAATAGGAGAAATGAAGATTTTCCACTGATCTTTTAGCCCGGAGTCCACAAACTTGCATGGTAGGCGTATATTCAAGCCTCCTGTCTCTGTCTCTGTCTTTGTCTCTCTCTACCACTGTCTATGTCTCTGCCTTCTCATTTTTTGGTAATTTTTCCTTTTTTTTAAAGAATTATTTAATTTTATTTATTCATTTATTTTTTATTTATTTATTTTAATTTGATCAGAAAGACACAGAGAGAGAGTGAAAGAGGGAAAGTGAGAAAGCAAGCACCCAGGTACTGATAATTTTTCCTTTAAAAATGTTTTTAAGGCAAAGCAAAGCAGTTTCTTGGCTTTCAGCTCCTCCTTTCCATTTATCTTGTTAATAAAACCCTCTCCCTCTCTGAACCAAGGAGAGGCAAGGAACAAGCCTCAGAAGACCCCTTCGTGGCTACTGAAAACTAGTGATTTCAGAGGAACAGGAGAAAGGAAGATTTTCCACTGATAATTCAGCCTCTAGCCCACAACCTCGCAAGGTAGGCAGACTTTCAAGCCTCCTGTCTTTATCTCTGTCTTTGTCTCTCTCAACTCTGTCTTCTCATTTTTTGGTAATTTTTCCTTTCTAAAAATTTTAAGGCAAAGCAAAGCAGTTTCTTGGCTTTCAGCCCCTCCCTTCTCTTTATCTTGTTAGTAATTCACTCTCCTTCTCCCAACCCGGAGGCGCAAGGGAGCAGGCCTCAGAAAACCCCTTCGTGGAGATTTTCCACTGAAAATTCGGTATCCAGCCCACAAACTCACATGGTAGGCACACATTCAAGCCTTCTGTCTCTGTCTCTGTCTTTGCCTCTCTCTCCCTCTGTCTTGGTCTCTGTTTTCTCATTTTTTTGTAATTTTTCCTTTTTAAAATTTTTTAAGGCAAAGCAAAACAGTTTCTTGGTTTTCAGCCATCCTTTCCCTTTATCTTGTTAATAATTCCCTCTCCCTCTCCCAACCCAGGAGAGGCAAGAGAGCAGGCCTCAGAAGATCCCTTCATGGCTACTGAAAACTAGTGATTTCAGAGGCATAGGCAAAATGAAGATTTTCCACTGATAATACAGCCTCCAGCCCAGAAATTTGCGAGGTAGGCAGACTTTGAAGCCTATCTCTGTCTCTGTCTTTGTTTCTCTCTACCTCTGTCTCTGTGTCTTTTTTTTCTTTGTAATTTATTTTAAAATTTATTAAGGCAAAGCAAAGCAGTTTCTTGACTTTCAGCTACTCCTTTCTTTTTATTTTGTTAATAATATTCTCTCCCTTTTCCAACCCATGAGAGGCAAGGGAGCAGGCCTCAGAAGACCCCTTCATCACTACTGAGAACTGGCGATTTCAGAGGAATAGGAGAAATCAAGATTTTCCACTGAAAATTCAGCATCCAGCCCACAGACTTGCATGGTAGGCAGACTTTCAACCCTCCTGTCTCTGTCTCTGTCTATGTTTTTGTCTCTTTCTACCTCATCTCTGTCTCTGTCTTCTCAATTTTTTAAAATTTTTCTTTTAAAAATTTTTTAACACAAAGCAAAGCAATTTCTTGGCTTTCAACCCCTCCTTTCTGTTTATCTTGTTAATAAAACCCTCTCCTTCAGCCCACCCTGGAGAGGCAAGGGGGCAGGCCTCAGAAGACCCCTTCATGGCTACTGAGAACTAGTGATTTCAGAGGAATAGAAATGAAGATTTCCCACTGATAATTCAGTCTCCAGCCCACAAACTCGCATGGTAGGCAGACTTTCAAGCCTCCTGTCTCTGTCTCTGTCGTGGTCTCTCTCTACCTCTGCCTTTGTCTCTCTTCTCATTTTTTTTTTTTTTTTGGTAATTTTTCCTTTTTTAAAATTTTTAAGGCAAAGCAGAGCATTTTCTTTGCTTTCAGCCCCTCCGCTCCCTTTATCTTGTTAATAATCCCCTCTCCCACTCCCAACCCAGGAGAGGCAAGGGAGCAGGCCTCAGAAGACCCCTTCATGGCTACTGTGGCTACTGAGATCTAGTGATTTCAGAGGAATGGAAGAAATGAAGATTTTCCACTGATAATTCTGCCTTCAGCTCACAGACTCACGTGGTAAGCAGACTTTAAAGCCTCTTGTCTCTGTTTCTGTCTTTGTGTCTCTCTCCCTCTGTCTCTGTCTCTGCCTTTTCTTTTTTGCAAAGTAGTTTCTTTGCTTTCAGTAACTTCTTTTTATCTTGTTAACAATAATCCCATCTCCCTCTAACAACCCAGGAGAGGCAAGGGAGCAGGCCTCAGAAGACCCCTTCTTGGATATTGAGAACTAGTGATTTCATAGGAATAGGAGAAATGATTTTCCACAGATAATTCAGCCTCCAGCACACAAACTCACGTGGTAGGCAGACTTTCAGCCTCCTGTCTCTGTCTACCTGTGTCTGTCTTCTCATTTTTTCATAATTAAAAAAAAATTTTTTTAATGCAAAGCAAAGCAGTTTCTTTGCTTTCAGCCCCTCCTTTCCCTTTATCTTGTTAATAATCCCCTCTCTCCCTCTCCCAACCCAGAAAAGGCTAGGGAGCAGGCCTCAGAAGACCCCTTTGTGGCTACTGAGGACTAGTGATTTCAGAGGAATAGGAGAAATGATTTTCCACTGATAATTCAGCCTCTACCCCACAACCTTGTGAGGTAGGCAGACTTTCAAGCCTCCAGTCTCTGTCTCTGTATTTGTCTCTCTCGACATCTGTCTCTGTCTTCTCATTTTTTTGTAGTTTTTCCTTTTTATAAATTTTTTTTAAGGCAAAGCAAAGCAGTTTCCTGGCTTTCAGCCCTTCCCTTCCCTTTATTTTGTTAATAATTCCCTCTCCAATTCCTATCCCAGGAGGGATAGGAACAGGCCTCAGAAGACCCCTTCGTGGCTACTGAGGACTAGTGATTTCAGAGGACCAGGAGAAATGAAGACTTTTCAGTGATAATTCCGCCTTCAGTCCACAGACTCACGTGGTAGGCAGACTTTCAAGCCTCCTGTCTCTGACTCTTTGTCTCTCTACCTCTGTCTCCGTATTCTTATTTTTTTGAAGTTTTTTTCTTTTAAAAAATTTTTAATGCAAGGCAAATCAGTTTCTTGGCTTTCAGCCCCTCCTTTATCTTGTTAATAGTCCCCTCTACTTCTCCGAATCCAGGAGAGGCAAGGGAACAGGCCTCAGAAGACTCCTTCCTGGCTACTGAGAACTAGTGATTTCAGAGGAACAGGAGAAATGAAGATTTCCCACTGATAATTCAGTCTCCAGCCCACAACCTCACGTGGTAGGGACACTTTCAAGCCTCCTGTCTCAGCCACTGTCTTTGTCTCTACCTCTGTCTTCTCATTTTTTTCTATTTTTTCTTTTTTAAAAATTTTAAGGTGAAGCAAAGCTGTTTCTTAGCTTTCAGCCCCTTTCCCTTTATCTTGTTAATAATCCCTCCCCCTTTCCCAACCCATAAAAGGCAATGGAGCAGGCCTCAGAAGGCCCCTTCACGGCTACTGAGAACTAGTTTTTTTCAGAGGAATAGGAGAAATGATTTCCCACTGATAATTCAGCCTCCAGTCCGCAAATTCACATGGTAGGCAG